TGTAGGATTTATAAAGTATAAAAAGCTAAAGTATTAAATTTAATTTATTTGATTAATACAGTATAATTATATATTAATAGTTATAATTTTTTATATTATACATGATGAGTAATCTCGTATTGTAGAGAGTTTGATTTATTAAAGTTAATTATTTGATATATTTAAAATATTAATTTTATTGCAATATAGGTTATTGATTTGTATAGATCAAGTAAAGAATTAATTAAAACAGTTAATTTATTTGGTAATTATAGTAGATAAATTTTTATTTAGTATTTAATATAGTTTAATGTTTAATAAATTCTGCAAATATTTTTATTAAATTTCTACTAATTTTTAAAGTAATATAATTCAAAGTATTTATTTTTAATATTATTGTATAAAAAATATATTAATATATTATTTAGAGATATCTAATAGATCAGAATATTCTTGAAATATAACCATAATATTATGATTTTAAGTAAAATTGTTGTAAGTAGGAACAAAAAGTGTATTTATTTCTTTTTCTAAAATTGCTAGTTGTTTTCCTTTATTAATATGGGAAAAAGGTTTGGAATGAAAATATTGTTCTAAGGTTGATGAGTTCTTAGAAGATGAAAAAGAATTGAAAGTTAATGGAGGTTGTGATAAATTTAAAGAGTTGTAAGTAGAAGAGGAACTTTGAGTTGTTGAGGTTTCTGAAATAGAAGCAGCACCTTGAAGAAGAGTAAATATAAATATGTAAATATAAAGATTTAATTTTTTTTTAAAAAAAATTCAGCAGTCATGCCTTAACTTTATTAGACTTTGTATAACTCATCTAGAATATGTAAAATTTTACAACTGAGTATTTCAGAAGGTAAGTAATAAACTTTTAACTTGTTAGCAGATAGCATATGAGAACTATTTCTAAATGACAAGTGTCATAGCCCAAATTGTTATTTAAATTACAAGTTACAACTAACCCGGTTACTAACTTGATATCTATGTTTGACCTGCTATAGTAGGATTTTCCTTCTTTTGGACCTTTTCTACAATTAGATATGACCCAGATCTCAACAAAATAGTATTTACCACCCATTATAACTACCTATCTCTTCTTTTAGACTTTTATTTGTATATAAAAGTAAAAAAAATAAAGCCATGTTTATGAAAAACACAAACATTTTAGAAAAAAACAACAAATTCTAAAATAATCTAACATAAATGAACAAAAATAAAAAAAGTGAAAAAAAGAAAGATAGTCATAATACATTGTTATAGTCTGTGCTAGGCATAAAGGTAAAAATTATATAATAATTGCAACTAATTACTATATCTTGATTGTAAAAACTTCATTTTAACTTTGAGACTCGTTTTGGGCACCGACTTAACTCAGATATCTCCTAAACGAGTGAAGATCTCTTTCCTATACCATAGCACTATATTTGCAAAACAACAAAATATATGATTGCTTTCTACTGAGTTTATTCCAATTTGGTAAGTGTAAACAATGCTAATCTTTTGAAAGGAGTAAGCCAAAAAGCCCACTTTTTGTCAAAATTTTGGTTAGAATAGCAAAAAATAAAAATGAAAGAGAGATCTCTTAGTACTACTTAAAAGAAAATAAGTTACTAAAAACAACAGAAACAGCCTTCTATCTAGACAGTACACTACTTGAATTTTGTCGGTAAGTAATAAACTTTGAACTTGTCAGCAGGTAGCATATGAAAACTACTTCTAAATAACAAGCACTGGGTTTGCAGTAAGTGATAAACTCTGAAACTGTCGGCAAGTAGCGTATGAGAACTATCTCTAAATGACAAGTACTGTTTTATAGTTTCTTCTTTCTTCGACTTATAACCTGAAAAGTTAGTTTTTACTATTTTTGTTGAAAAGTTTTTTCAGAAAAATTTAAACCAAAGTGATTATTGGAAAGAGTTGATTGTATAGAGATTTAATATAAGATAAAAGATTATTATTTTTTAATTTTTTATATATACTTCTATCTAATTTAATATAGTTTGTAGTTGAGTTAAATATATTTGGTTAGAATTAGGGTTAGACATTGAAGAGATAGAATTATTGGATCGAGGCTGTTGCTAGAAAGGTTTTTTATATATATTTTAAGTTAATATATAGTGAGAGTTAAATTTTTCTGCAATTCTTTAAAGTTTTTCTTGTTTTCTATGCTTATTATTAGAAGTAGAAGGTGTATTGGTTTCTGAATTTGAAAGAGTATTAAGCAAAGGGCAGAATAATTTTACTTAATAGTTTTACAGAGAATGAAAGTAAATTTTGCTAGTATAATTAGTTTACCTCCAACAGAAAAGATTGGATAATGAGTAGTTGTATCTTTGATATTTGTATATTAGATATAAAGAAAGTATTTGCAGAAAATTAATAGTGAAGATTGGTTAGCTGTAATACTATTATATATATCTCTCTTTAATCTAAAGATTCCTTGACCATTTTCAATTATAGCAGAGGCAGTAAAGACTTTAAAAGCTGAAGTGATTGGTAGATTATATAAAAGGTTTATCACAAAGTGAAAAAATGTTTAAAAGAATATATTAATTAATTGTTATCTAATAGAAAAAATAATAATAATTTGATTTAAATATATAATTATAGTTATTTAATTTGTTAATTTAAATTTATTTAACATATATTTAGTTTATTATTTTCAATTGCAAATCAGCCAATAATTAAAACTATTTGTTTTTTTCAAATTTCTTTGATTAAGAGTATATCTTTAAATTTATATTCTACAAATTCATTGTCTCCTGCTCTATAAATTTCTACTCCAGCAATAAATTTGTTTGCATTGGAGATTGATTTGATAAATGAGACAGCACAGAAAATTGAAACCATTATAAAAAAATAAAAGGGTGGAGTTTTTTTAGTAAATAAGTTATCTAAGCAAAAAATAATATTTATCAAAAGTTAAGAAAGTAAGGTTTAAAAAATAATAAGGTTTATTTTTATATATTTTTTTAATAAGTAATTTTCATTACTAATTATCATTATATTATGGTATAAAATATTTATGTCCAATATTGTTAAGTTTCTTTGGTGAAGTATAATTAATGAGAAATTATATCAAAATTTAATATAAGTAAAAAAAGTTGATTATTAATTATTAGCAGACTTTAAATATGAGTTGATGTTTAGTTGATATAGGTTTTTTATTTGTTAAATAGATTTGATTTATTAATTTTTTGATGAATAATATTATATTATTAGTAATAATAATACGTAGTATAGATAGTGAAATGATTTAATTTTGGTGCGAATACATAGAGGCATAGTGAAAATTTTAATTTATTTTTTATATTAAACTTTTTATATACGTAGTGGATCTATTAAGTGGTATTGTATTTAAACATATTAAATGAATAGATTTGTAGTACAATATTGTTTTCGTTTTATATAGTTACTTCCTATATAATCACATAGTAAAACTCTTTTTATATTCACGCAAAGGGCTGCGACACTAATAAATTTATAAAAAAGTATTTCTCATAAGCATATAATAGTAAAAATTTTTATATGATCACACAATTTGCATGATACGGACTGCATGATTATAGAGAAGGATGATTGTATATGTTATATTTATATTTGTTATTAATTAATAAATCGATACTAAACCCCGAAATTTTTTTGGACCTCTGATCTTAATCTCTTGATATATAAGGATCAAGAATATACGATTTTTATTTATAGGATATTTATTTATTTATTTCGGGGTTATGAGTTAGTGATATAAAAGGTTAATTAATTTAGATTGTGAATTTATGAAAGGTCATTTGTATTTGTTGTACGTAAATTTATTCTTAATTAGATTAGTGGCGTACTACGTAATATGTTAATTTACGTATGTCTGAGAAGTTACTGAATTTTATTTATTAAAATTCAGTGAAAAATGTTGCACAATATGAGGCGTTTTTTCTTATATATAGACATCTTTTCCAGTAAGCGAAAATTTTTTTGAGCGTTTGGCGGGGCATCTCAGCTCTTCTCGTAAATCTAAGAGTATTTTTACAATGTTTCTACTTGTGTTACGGAACTAACCTTATGTCGCTAAGTCAAATTTCTAAATCAAGGGGACGTCTAAAGCGGAGATAATTATATTAACTTTAGGGTCAGGGTCATCTTAGGTTAAGTTTTGATATTATATATATGCAAAATTGCCTTCCCGCTTAACTTACCCAAGGTAGGTTTAGACTGCCGTTTTTTATTGCTTCGCCGGCGATCATCAAAATTATATGATTTGATTGGCTGATAGTCACATGATTAATCTCCGCTTTAGACGACCCCTAAATCAAATAACCTTTTAAATAAAAAATTAACCTCAAAATCTCAAAACTATCGAACTTAGCGCTAAAATAAAATTATCATTGCCAACTCGATTTGGAACACTACCGGTTTATTTGCTGATTATATGTCATATGATCCGTGACACAAAATTTCATGTAATTTCTCCTCAATTTAAACATTTAATTTTTAATTACTACCGCTACTAAATAAATTTTTAATTTATATTATAATAAGCATGCCGTGGTGGTATTTTGGCCAAATTATTATCAAATCAAATGACAAGCTAAAACAGAAGTCGTTAGAAAATGTGGGGTTTTGTTTAAATAATTCTAATTTATAGTAAATTTTAATTTTATAACCATTATTATTTTACAGAATGGGTTTATTAATAGCAAATAAAATCAAAAGCTCAGGTAGAATTGCAACCTAAAAAATGTCTATTTTAACTAACCCACTAATCTCAAATTTCAGAAAATTAACATATATATTAAAGTGATTTAAAAATTCTATTCTTAAATACATTTCATGATTTTGATGTTTTAACGAATTGCTGAGACATGATTAAATAAAGTAAATATAAGTAAATACGATTCATTGAAATTATTAAATAAAATATTCTAAGTACCTGGAAAAATTTCTGAAATGCTTTTAATTCTAGTTGCTGTAAAGATCGTAAGAAATCATCAAGAAGATCTGGTTGTAGCAACCAAATAGTCCATACATTCCTAAGATATTCAAGAAAATCTTCTCTCCTTTGTGAAAGCATGATTTTCAATATCTTGGATATTTCATTTAAAACCTGAGCAAATGACATTGAACAAAATTTAAAATCAATTTTATAAATTTGTATTAACAACAAATGCTTACCATTAATGATTGACCATCGTTCACATTGAATGATGGCTTAAAGGGAACTTCGAAACAAATACGCAATATGTGCTCATATAATGCACCTATTGTCAAGTACTGGCCACCCCAGAGAGTCAACGTTTTCGAAAGAATACTAAATGCTATCTTCATAGATGGAATATCAGAGGGATCGCTGGCATAATGTATAACACTTCGAAGTATGCTTTCTAGACGTGGCTGATTCACTAAATAATATTTGGCCAATGTATTTAGATTTAGAGATTAAGAGGTAATATTAAAAAAAAAACAACTTTACATTCGCTGACGAAAACTGCATCCATTTCATTATTCAACAATCCTAAGATGAAATTTAGGTAGGCTTTTCGAAGATCTATCAATAAAAGCGCTTCATCAGTTCCGGATGGTGTTTGATTTAAGAACTGGAAGACTTTATCGATCAAAGGAATAATTAGCTCATTTAAAATGTTAAAGATCGAAGGCTAATTAATTAATTAATTAATTAATAATCAATGGGTAAGTAAAATAAAATTTAAAATAAATTTAAAGAATTTGAACAATAAATCATTAAATAATAATTTACTTTAAATTTATGAGCTAAAAGTCCAACAAATGGGAGAAAATCCACTAATTCTGAAATCCCACACTCAGTGAGCAATTCATTAATTAATAAAGGAAGATATGGCAATATCTCCGTGCCAAGCACACTAACAAGCCGTGCAAAGGTATACCTTGCCTACATAGAGGATAGCTTTATTAGATTCACAAATCATTCTTAATAGGTGCTAATTATAATTTACTCTGAAACATACAGCATCCCTGATAATTTCGTATCTATTCAAAATTTTCAGCACAGCTAGAACGATCTCAGTCACCTGCTTTAGAATTCCAACCCATAGAACAGTTGGATGAGATCCTTTGGGCGCTTCAGGAAAGCCTATGTAATGATGCAGAGGTAAATAAGCAGATAGTAAATGCAATAGAGCTATCATACCAAATTAGAGATAGTAACCTTTCACGATGCTACCAATAGCCATTATCAAGTGATGTATTTGAAGTACAGAACGAGGATCTATGTGTTCAGGTGATTCTGTACAGATTTGTATATAGCGTTGTATTTCTTCCATTAAAGGGTTAAATATGGCCTGCCATGAAATGAGGGTGAATATTCGGCAAAATAGTTAAAGAAAAAAAAAATTCAATGCGGTTGAAAATACTTTTGCAAATTCCATTTGATCATCCTGAGGAATAGATTCTATTGTGATCAATGTACCAACGGTCTCAAAGAGGTATATCTGCTCACTGAATCCACTTTCCATTGCTTTATCTTTTGTCAAAGGATTACTGTCAGCAGACATATCAGAAGATTCAAGTACAGCTTGTATGATCAATAAATCCTGATAAAAAAAAATCAATAAATATTAGTCGTTGATATCTAATAAGATAAATCCAATTAGAAGTTAAATATTAAAGTTTAATTAATTATAATTTATAACAAAAGAAAACTCAACCTGAATGCTTCCCAATACAGTATTAACATATTTGTCCATTTTTAACTTCAGTAACTTTACAAATCGATGAAAAAGATACCATGATCGATAACGAATTGTTGTATTTGGATTATGTAGACCACGTATATCTACAAATGCCTCAAGTACTGGAGGAATACAGTCAGGCTGCACCTCAAAAAATTGAGAATAACGAGAAATATTTTCAAAAAAATTCAAAGTAATGGCTGGATGAGAATATGTAGAAACATCTATTGGAAAATACAATATTTAATATATTTTCTGAGTGTTTATAAATATTTGTATTAAATACTTGCCACATTGAATCATTTGATTCATCATTTCCCCTAAAGATGTATACACAGTAATTTCATTATTATTTTTTTCCACAAATTGAACTTTCCCTTTGATTGCTTCCCCGTACAAATGTAACAAGTGCAATGCTAACTCTAGTTCACGCCAATCAAGTGCATTCCCTAATTTTGCATAATTATCCAAAGTACTAATCACAGCCAAACGAATATATGTTGTAAACAATTGCGAATCGATATGATAAATCGCTTCAAAGAATGATTTTAGATTCTGAAAGTTTTTACATATAAAAGCAATCAATATTGTAATATATTAATTAATAATATACGTTTATCTACTATATTTATTACCTTACGCATCTCTAAAAATTCTGCCGCATCTTCTGATCCATCATCTGTTCCGCCCCAATCTGTTTCATCATCATATTTCATTTTGAGAACTACTACTTTGAGCAATGAATCCAAAAATTCTCTTTGTGTCCCAGTTAATACACCGGAGCAATTTTTTTGCTTTTTCAATACTGTTTGCAATGCCGATACGAAAGGAAATACAGCACATGAAGTATCATCATATTCATCAGCCAAAAATTTTAATAAAAATGGTAGTAAGAGTTCTATTTGAACATATACAGCAGGTTTTGTTTCAGAATCCACCTTGAATGAAATTAATGATAATTTAAAAGACTGAATTAATGATAATAATGGAAGGCCAGTATTTATAATTTACCTCTTCCCATATTTTGCATAATTCTACGCCAAGAACATTAGTAAGCTTGGCAACTTGTTCGACAAAATCTATATCATCCGACTTATAGTTTTACAAGAGTGAATAACATTATTCATAGCCGTAAAAGGTTAAAAATATACGAAAAGTTTGCTTACAAGATCCAAACGTCTCATAACATTTGTTAGATTCAAAACTTGAATCAATTCAAATTTGTCCAGAGGTTTCATTCCTTTGCATACAATCTAGAGTATAAAAAGTGTTATTTAAAATAAAGCAAAGTCTACAGGATAATTAAGTATAAATGTGTACCTCAGCCAAACATTCACAGGCTACAATTCGAAGTCTTATCTCTCCTAATAATTGATATAGAAGTGTAATGAACGATTCATTTACAATCAAAGAGATATCAATCCAAGCTAATTATATAGGATGTATTAAAAAATTGATTTATTTAAATAACATGAGAATTTATGTGTAATAACGACTTTTTTTTAAAATAATAATGATAGACGCACAAATATAGAGCCCAACTATTTTTAAGCACATTTCCGCAACATCTTGATTTCGGGTGCAGTAATCTTTCAAAATATCGTACCAAGCTGTTGCAAGTTTTTGAACATCATTTCTTCTCATAAAATCTTTCTAACAAATGTACCAAACATAATCGTATAATCAATTAAGGGTGCCGAATGGAACAAAGGTGGATCAAGAGAAAGGATTGCAGAGTACAAATAAATAAGATCAATCGTGAATGTCATCAGGTTGCAACAAATAAATGAGACAAAATAAATGCTTACAATGGCCGTATTTCTTTGTGCATCCTCTTTTTCCCTAGGAACAGACAAATTCGCTACCTCTTCATCAATCGACAATAAAATTCTCAGGAATATATCTATTGTGCGCACATTGGTTTTACTGCCATTTATAGCATTGATTTGAAGTAACGCCAAAAATTCATCAAAGAAATTTGGCCATAATGACAGATATATTTGAACAAAGAGTAATGTTAAAGTATGTGAAAATTTATTTTTCAGATCTAGAAATAAGAGGAAGAATTAATCATGAACCATGACAGAAAGGTATAAATTATGAAAGGTGATTAAACTAAATAAATACTAACATTGCGGTTCGGAACTAAATTCCACACCATTAACTTCTTCGAGAACATATTCTCGCTTAACAAACTCCATTAAAGTAGATCGAATTTGGAGAAATTGCGGCGTATCAAGAGATCTAAGAAAAGCAACAAATGTTACAACAAAACAAACAAAACACAATCAGATTTTAAATAATATCCTTGATAACAATAAGATAAAAATTGTTGATTTGATCGTGATAGTTACCCATTCTTCAGCACTTCATCTACAACTTGTAAAGCAAATAACCGAGCTTCGGGAGAGCTGAATATTATATGATGTATAACATAAGCACATACAATTTAAAATATGGAAGGTTGAAGGTGGACTGTGATGTTAATAAAGAGTAAGTTATAATAAAAAAAAAATAATAATATCTATCCTACTCTCAAGTCAAGAAATTGTCAATTGTTCAAGACAGATGAAAGGAATAGTATAAACCTTTGAGAACACACCTTTTAGGAAATCGGACAAACAATAATAGACATAATTGCCAACCATCGGGCGATGCTTTTACTTGCTCACAAAAGTTCATAGCCTGTATGGTATCGCGTACAATGCCAAGTAGTATCATGATAAGGGACAATCAAGAAGAGTAATAGGCATACACATTAGACCTTAGATTAAATCTTTAATTTTCAGATCAATCTAAAAGCAACCATTACACTTCGATTTATGATTAAGATCAAAGCTCAAAATTAACACTTTAATAAATTTAAATAAATCCATAAAATAGAAAGTATTCAAATTAATTGTTTTTTTTTTTATTTGATTTTTCGAATTGAAAGAAACTCAGCAAACATTATTAAAAGTAGATCAAAAATATTAATCTGAATATATCAATTCTTGACATCAACCCACAAAAGTAATGTGTACAAACTCTTAAAGCTTCGATCAACAAAGGTATTAACGAAGAACAAGTCAACCGTTGTACTGAAAAGAGTTACACACCTGACTTTTCAAAGTTTGATCTGAAGAGGGGCTCAAAGCGATGGCAACAGCTTGTTCTATCTGTTCTTCCATTATATGTATGATATGCCTTTAAATTTTCTCAATCGTAATTATGAAAAAAAAATAGAGAGCCAATTATAGGAATCGTATATAATAATGAAAAAAAAATGGAGGTCAAAAAATTTGATCGGTTCTGAGTCATAATCGATGTGGGACAATTTGTACAATCTGTATGTATGTACAGTATCACGTGCCGTCATGAGTAGATCTAATCTAACAAACAAATAACACACTAACCTTTAATAATACGTAGCATGCTTATATATAATGTTGATTTCTCGATACAGCGAGTAAAGAACAAGGTGCATTTTTTTTGTCTAATTGATAATCTGGTGGATACCGTATTTTGCTGCTACTTAGAGTACTCCATTGTCGGTTCCCTTGATGTATATTTTGCCCAAGACTCGGGTACATTAAGCGTTTCAATTGACGTGTTTCGAATGATTTATTACGAAATATCATTATACAGTAGCATTATACATTTTGGGTGTCAGGATTGTCTGACTCTCATCCAGTTTATAAATTTATTTTAAAAATTCATACATATACGCAGAAGTTAATACAGTAGTTTAAAAGCGGGTCATGATAATTAGAGGACTGATCTGGTCAAAATAATCATCCGGATATTCATTTATTCAATTTTGTTAATATCCGGATATCAGTCAAAAATTGAACGAGTATTCGGATAAATTCATTGAATATCGATTTCGAATATCTGACTTAATTTATGTTTAGCTTGTACTTATTTGTTCATTTTAAAACATTAAAATTAGATCGATTTTATATAAATATACAGTATAACGATATTTTTACCTTTTAAGTTGATATTTTTATTTTTTTAACATTTTAAATAATTGTCAAATTATTATCGTTATGATAATCATTATTGATCGAGTTAACTTTAAATACATATTAAGTAGAAACTGAATTCTCTTATTATTAAAAACTGAATAGTTTCCATAGTAAATTTACGAGTTTTTGCGATTCGAATTTGTATGTTACACATTAATCTTACAATCGGATTGGGTAAAAATCACGGGTCCGCCAAAATTTTGCGCCATGGCTATTAGACTGATGACGCCACAAAAAATTTCTTATTTGAATGAAAATTTCCAACATGTATTCATTAACCCCTATATTTTGAATTAAAGAACTATATAATAGTCAATACTCTCTATACCAAGCTAAGGTCATACAATGTTAATTTTTTGGTTCCCATAACATAAAATTTTAAAAACGATCCATTTGTCATTCGATCATATGATACATCAAACACTACAACAAATGAATACTATGGAATATGCATATGAGATACGCCAGGGACCTGAGAAAATATTGATTTATTTAGATCAATATAAATCGATATTTTTAGGCCAAATCGTAGGGAATCGATATTTTTGCAATTTTTAATGTAGTGTAACAATACCAAATTCGGGCCAAATTAATATCATAATTTTGGCCGGTGATATAAATTTGGCAGCCCGGGTTATCAGAAATTTTCAGAATTAGACAGTCAAGAAACATAATAACAAATAGCAAAAAACAAATTTTTGAAAAATTTCGTTATGATCACGTTACTTCGAAAGTTGTATTCTGATTGGTTTAATCAAGTAAATCGATATTTTTGACCATATCATTGCCAAAACTAATTGATATTTTCTCAGGTTCCTGGATATCATCTCGCTACTTACATAGTCAACAGCTATTTCCTAGTATCATCAGTTTATCCTACTCTATTTTCTTATTTGATATCTGATATCCAGGTTGTTCATCTGGGCTATTGACATACCCATAACCACCAAACACCTCACTCACAACTTTTTGCCTGGTAGTGGGTGGGTGGGCACTAATGACAAAGCTAGATTTTTGTTAAGCTAGCAACAAAGACAAAAGAGAAAGAACTACTTCCAATCCAAAAACTCTTAAATACAGTCAGAGAATATAGCAAATAAGGGCAAATTAGAAAATCCGGTTCTAGAATGATCTGCACAGATTTGATTGGCTTTTGTATAACTTCTTGCTAGCAGTTTTAGGAAATTTTTTACACGTTTTATTTATTGCTTAAAACTTCTAAATAAAAGCATTAATA